GCTCCGAGCTGGCAGTCAGCACAGAGCCCGACGCGGGGCTCGAACCCACGAACCTTGAGATCATGACCTAAGCGAAAGTCGGACGCTTAACCGACTAAGCCACCCAGGCGCCCCAGATAACCGGTATTTCTAATAGTGTCCTGTTACCAGGTGAACAGATTCGTATTGACTGTATGTAAACAACTGCAATTGCCATGAAAGAAAGTACTTACTGAGTTTTGGAATTTCAGACAGTTCAGGTGGAGACAAAAGTTAAATGCTTCCGTTTATTTATAAATGAATCCCTGTCACATTTCTGTTTGTCATAGATGCCTTAAGAGGAAGTCTCCTGTGGAAGAACAGACATTAGAGACCCAACAATATTTCCAACAAGAGTCACAAAACTATACTCTTCCTCCGTTTATTTAGCCCCATGTTCCTAACCATTGTTCAGTTTGAATGCAGCTCTTTAGTTCTGGAAATTTTTACACATTTCTTTAATGATCTTGAAGATGTCACATGCCTGTTTGTCCTAAAAGTCCTTTTTGTAAATGTCTTTGAAGATGAAACATGTTTTGTTAGAGCCTCAGAACAGTAACTGTACGTGACAAAAGACTCAAAACTGGAAGGGTTAACGATCCGATAGGAGAGTTCGTTAGGATGCATTTCGCAAGGAAACGCGGTTATTTCTGTGACACTTTGATAATCAGAATACCAAGTGAGGACCTGATGCCAAAACACACGAAGACTTTAGAAATGTATATATGTATGATTATACGCTTCCCCGCAGGCCCCGGGAGGCTCGGCGGCAGGAACACAGCACCCCCTCCTCACCCTGGCGAAACCGCACTCGGGAAAACACTGTGGGTTTCGGCGTGTTCCCTGCCTCCAGGAGGGGCTGCGAAGGAATTTTCCTGGGAAAAGGGACCTAAAAACTGCATTTCCTGGGGGGATAGTACTGAGGACCCCAACCCGGCTACACCGACCTCTTGGCTTCCTTCCCCTCCGCCTGGCTCTCAGGCCCCTTGGTGGAATCTTCTTCTTGTCCCCAGTTTTTTAAGGGAAAGGCTTTGTTTGCTAGATTTGATCCTCCTGTGAGGCAACAGCGCCTCCAGGTGATCGGGAGAGACTGAGACACTGGTTTGAGAAAAGGGGTACATGGGTGTCAACGTGCAACCTTTCCGGGGGTGACTGAGGAACACAATTACACCTACCATAGTTTACATGTGCCCTGTTTCCTCTTTTATCTTTTTGGGAATGAGACGTATTGGTGATTTCTCTAATTATGCTTCTCTAACATTGATCTCGGCCGCCTCTCTCCGCACACTCCTGACCTAACCCGCTTTCCCCGGAGACCCCTGCAAATGCTCAGTTTCCAGCATTTGGAGGCCGGCCTCTAGCCCCTGTGACTGAACCCGGTGCTAATCCAGGTGTTTCTCTCAGGCGTCCTGTCCTGCGGCTGACACGGGCCATCCGCTCCCCCCCCATGTGTGTGCAGAGAAGCCTCCCCCTCCCAGGACACCAGTCATATTGCATCAGGACCCACACTAATGACCCTGTGTTAATTACCTCTGTAAAGACCTCAGCTCCAGATAAGGTCTGAGATCTGAGGGTTAGGACTCCCACGCATCTTTCTTTTCTTGGGGGCGCGGGGCACGATTCAACCCCAAACAGGTAAATATAGCTTTCTAAAGAAAATAGCGTTAAAAATCATATTTAGTGACACCTGGGTGGCTCAGTGGGTTAAGCATCCAACTTTGGCTCAGGTCGTGATCTCACGGATTGTGAGTTTGAGCCCCGCGTCGGGCTCTGTGCTGACAGCTTGAGCCTGGAGCTGCTTCGGATTCTGTGTCTCCCTCTCTCTCTGCCCCTCCCCCCTGCGTGCTCGGTTTCTCTCTCAAAATAAACATTAAAAAAGTTTTTAAAATCATATTTAGAGGGAAAGAATCCTCGAGCTGTTTCCATTGTCCATTCTTTGAAGAAAATGTCCTCTCTCATGATTTCAGCAAGGGCGTCTGCCCTTGAGTGTGAAGCTAATATATCACTGTAGTAAAACCATCTCTGACTTCCATCACAGAAAACATAGTAATATTTCTCTTGGCATATATTCAGGCCATTTCTGCTTTTCTTTTTTCCTGTAAAATCACTCTTGCTATTGTTTTCTATTAAGAAAAAATGAGGCAAAATGGGGCGCCTGGGTGGCTTAGTCGGTTAAGCATCCGACTTTCGCTTAGGTCATGATCTCGCGGTTCATGGGTTCGAGCCCCGCGTCGGGCTCTGTGCTGACTGCCAGCTCAGAGCCTGGAGCCTGTTTCAGAGTCTGTGTCTCCCTCTCTCTCTGACCCTCCCCTGCTCACGCTGTCTCTCTCTCTCTCTCCTAGAAATAAATAAAACATTAAAAAAATTTAAAAAAAAATGAGGCAAAAAATTTTTTCACTTTATTTTTGAGACAGAGACAGGGTGTGAGCAGGGGAGGAACAGAGACAGGGAGACACAGAATCCGAAGCAGGTTCCAGGCTCTGAGATCTCAGCACAGAGCCTGATGTGGGGCTCGAACTCACTGACTGCAAGATCATGACATGAACTGAAGTCAGACGCTTAACTGACTGAGCCACCCAGGTGCCCAAGGTAAATTTTAATTAAGAATGTAGCATGGAATTTTGCCTCTCGCCAAGATGCAGTACAGGGACCAGATTTTCTCTCCCCGAAATAACCATAAAAGGTGCAAAACATAAAACATAGTAGTTTAAGAGAGTGGACCTAAGGCCATGAAGGATGGGGATTATTGGCACGTGGGACGTGGGAAGGGAACACGGTGAGCCCTGCATTTGCCCTAATTTACTGTCTTAAGAGAGTTTCCAGGTCGTGGTCCAGGGCGACGAACCCTGGCAGAGCACTGCAAACACCCTGAGTTAAAGAGATTGAGCTGGGGGCACCTCGGGGGCTCAGGCAGTTAAGCATATCCGACTCCTGGTTTTGGCTCAGGGTGTGATCTCACGGTTCATGAGCTCGAGTCCTGTGTCAGGCTCCACACTGCCACTGTGAAGCCTGCTTGGGACTCTCTCTCTCTCGCTCTCTCTCCCTCTCTCAAAATAATTAAACTAAAAGAGAGAGAGACACAGAGAGACAGTGAGAGGGAGAGAGACAGCTGAGTGTCCAGAAAGACCAACGTGGCCAGAGTTTATGGGAGAGACCACTCGATAAGCAGCCAGAGAAGGAAGCTGGAACACCCACAGAGGGTCCCCCTTAGTGGAACAATGAGCTGAGATGAGGGGAAAGGTCACCCTTTAGAGTGAGTGGTGCCCAGCATCCACACTAGGCAGGGACACAGATGATCACACGTGCAGAAGAAGAAGAAACACAACAGTGACTTCCAGCTACTCTCAGGAAAGGGTCTTAGTACAGCCCACAAGAGACTGAATTCCCTGTCTTCAGCCTCATCTCTAGGCCCTGCCTCTATCTCAGTCAGCTATTGCCACTCAACTGCTGTGTAACAAATAGCCCCCCTCCCATTCAGTGGCTTGCTCCTGGATTACTCCTCTTAAAGCCCTGAACCACCATACAAGAATTTCTACTCTTCTGTGCCCACCACGCTGTGAGAAGGCCCAGGCTAGCCACATGGGGTGTCTGGCCAGCCCCAAAAGACACCACATGGAGAAGAAGCCAGGCCCCAGAGGGATGGCCCCAAGCAAGTCAACGACCGCTGTTCAAGCCACCCCTGCTGAAGTCCCATTGTGGAGTAGGACAAAGTCGTCCCTGCTGTGCCCTGCCTGACCTTCTAAACCACAAAATAATGAAATGAGCCTAATAAAATCGTTTTCACATGAGTAGAAAGGTTCTTTTGAATTTGAATAATTCCTGCCTATTCCCCCCAGGGTTAAAAAAAAAAAGCATTTAATGATTAAAAGAAACTGTTGCAGACTTCTGAGCTCTCATCATGGTTTATAAAGAATATGTGAGAGGTATTTTTTTTTAAATAGTCAAACATAAAATGTAAAAAAGAAAACCTTCCGTGGCTCAAAACCACAATCCTTTATTCTCAAGCTCACAGGTCAGTGGATCAGGTGGGAGACTCTGCTCCCAGAGCCCCAGCCTTGAAAGGACCCTGGGCATGTTCTTACCAGAGTAAGGCCAGGAGCTTTCCAGAAGGATAAGTGAAAACACACAATGCCTCTTGAGGTCTGCATGTAAAATGGAATTTTCTTTTTTAATTTTTTAAAAATGTTTTATTTATTTCTGACAGAGAGAGAGAGACAGCGTGAGCAGGGGAGAGTCAGAGAGAGGGGGAGACACAGAATCTGAAACAGGCTCCAGGCTCTGAGCTGTCAGCACAGAGCCCAATGCGGGGCTCGAACCCACGAACCGTGAGATCATGACCTGAGCGGAAGTCCGACGCTTAACCGACTGAGCCCCCCAGGCGCCCCTAAAATGGAATTTTCAAGGGTGAAGTAGGCGTGTGTGGTGGTGTAACGGGCAGCTTTGGGGAAGGTGGAGGAGGGGGTCCATAAAATAATGTGGTGTGTCACCGTCAACGGCATGCTGATCCTGGTGAAATACATTAGTGTTCCCATTCTACGTTCACCCATTTCTTTGCATTCTCAATTATCGAATTAGATCAAATTCCCGAGACAAATACTTTCCACGACTTCGTGGTGAGCTGTGGGTGGTCAGCGTCGGCTCTCGCCCTCGCGCTGCTGTTTGGCCTTTGTTAAGTGACTTAACTTCTCTGATCCTCGGGGGGTTTTTTTTGTTTTTTTTTCCCCTCCCCTCTAACCCCGCGGACTGTGTCCCTCCCCCTGAGGAGGCGGAATCTGGCCCCACTATCTCTGGCCCCGCCCCCACCCAGAGCCCCGGCCCCCGGTGGGCGGAGCACATCGACCCACACTCCCCTCCGCGCGCCGTCCCATAGCCAAGACCGGGCGCTTCCAGGACGCCGGCGCAGCGGCGCGGTGCCTTCTGGGAGTCGTAGTTCGTGGGAGCGGCGCGCGGGCCGTAGCGGGCTGGCGCGCACGCGCAGTCAGCGCCGGCCTGGCGCTCAGGCTCACCCGGAGAGGCCGTCGCGGTGACCTGTGCGGCCGGTTAGTCCGCGCCACGGTGGGTCCTGGGGTTCCTGGGGTCCGCCTGGGCCGGGTAGGGCAGGAGGCCGAGGAGAACCTGACCCGAACCCACTGAGCTCGGCGAAAGCCGCCCGAGGCCTTTGAAGCCCGTGCCGGGAGGCGAGGGCACCGGCGCGTGGTTTGCGCGTGCGCGAGTGGGTGTGCGCGCGAGTGTCCGTGTCGCTCTGTCGCTGTATGTTCGTGACTCCAGTGGTGTGTGCATGCGAGTCCCGCCCCGCCTATGCACGTGCGTTTGCACGTGTGCCACGCCTGTACTTTGTGGCAGGGGAGGTGTGGCCGTGTGTGTGTCCCCGTGTTTGCCCGTGCGCGACTCCACAACTTTATGCGCGTGCAGCTGTGAGTGACTCACTGTGTGAGCCCGTCCCCGCATGTCACCGAGTGTTTCCACCTGCGTGCCCAGGCAGGTGTGACCATACGTATGAGTCCCACCTCGTGTGTTTGTATGTGGGTCACTATCAGTTTGTGCCCTTGTGGGTATGTAACTGTGCGTGTGACTCTGCATGTGAGTCCGTCCCCGGTGTCACCGTGTGACTGAGCCTGCCAGTGTATGCCTGTACAGGGGAAGCAGCGCGCATAGACTGTGTGAGACCTGTGCCCATGGGTAACGTTAGGCACGTGTGGAATGTGTTCTCCTAGGTGTGAAGTGTGTGATTCCACATATGTCTGGGTGTGCAGCTGAAATCGGTGTTTCCATGGGTGTGCCTGCCGTCCTGGAGCTGGTCATTCGGTGTCCCCGGACATGACTGTGCATGTGGTCTGTGCAGGTCCCAGGACGTGTTTAGGAGACACTGGGGGTCACTGCGGATCCGCACATGGGGGAGACCCTGCACACGTGATTTTGGGCACGTGTGACGCTCTGCCCACCGCTTATGAATGTGCATGTGTCCAGGTGACACATGCCTGCACCCCGGAATCTTCCTTCATGGTTCCCATTTCTTTCTCTCACAGATGCAGTCCGGACCCACTGATGCATGGCAGCCAGAGCAGGGCCACAACCTGAGTGACACAGACAGGACCTGATGGTCCAAAGACCACAAGGTGGGTACCACAGCCCTGCGTGGGGCCCTGGCTGGGAGCTGCCTGTGGAGGCGGTTCCGGAGCTGGGCCAGGCCTAGACCAGAGACTGAGCGTGGTATAACCCTCACCCCTGCCATCCCTGATCCCACCTGCCGGCTGCTTCAGTTGTCCTACACCCGTCCCCCACCTCCCTGCCCTCTGCTTTTCCTCTGTCTCCCCAGCCTTGGGTCTGCTCAGGACCCTGCCCCCGCTGCACTCACAGTCCAGAAAGCTCACTCCTTCACTTCTGGGTCTATACACCCTTCTCCACAAGGCCTGGCCTCAGGGGAAGAACATTCCAGGCAGATGGAACAGCCAGTGCAAAGGCCCTGAGTCAGGAGCATGCCTGGAATGTTTGAGGAGCAGCAGGGAGGCCTAGATTGGAGCAGTATGAGCCCGGGGCAGGCAGGGGTGTCGGTGCAGATAAGCCCCGGAGCCGGGGGGTTCTGGGCGGGCTCTAGCACGGCCGGTTCTGGGAGCTTTCCTGAGGAGTAAGTGAGCCAGTACGTGGCAAGAGCTTAAAGGAGGCTGGGCGTATGGCTCTGTGCTCAGCGGGTGCTGGTCGTTAGCCCTGGAACACTACTTCCGAGTCGGTGTCCAGGGGGGGCAAGACCTGCCCCTCTCAGACGTTCCTGTGCCCACAAATCACCCGGGGCTCCCGTTAAAAGCAGATTTCAAGTTGCTAGGCCTGCAGAGGGGCCTAAGCTCTGCGTCTGTGACAGTAGTGCTGCTGGGCCCCAGGGCCCGTGTGCAGCCGTGAGCCTTTGTCACGTGTTCGTAATCCCGAAAACAGATGGTTGTGTTTGCCTGTTTTTCAGCCTAAATGGCATCCTACCTGATACACCCTTTGCACGTTAACCTTGTTTGCCAGCACTGCGTATCTGAGGTTCTGAGCCGGTACGGCAGCTCGCGTTCATCCGTCTTTCTGCTGTGAGATGCTCCACTGTGTGAATACAGTGTTTGACTGTTTCCTTGTTAACGGACCGTTGGACTGTCTTCTAGATTTGGCTGTTACAGACAATGTTGGACAGGCCTCCTGGTACACATGTGTGCACGTTTCTCTTGCTTACGTTCCAGAAAATGTAATTATTGGGCGATGGGGCGTGTGTAACCAGCTTTCCTAGAAAATGCCAACAGTTTTTGCAGTGCACGCTCCCACCAGCAGTACATTATGCACAGAGTCTGAGAGCTACCTGTTCCTCTGTGTACGATTTTTCTCCACAAAAGAATGCCCTCAGCTCAGAGGCCATTGACAAAGTGCAGCAGCCCTCTGTCTTCCCCAACAGAACTGCATTTCTTCACAGTTCTGGAGGCCGGGGTCTGGGATTAGGGCATCAGCCTGGCTGGGGTCTGGAGAGATTGTCCTGGCTTGCAGACAGTCTCCTCCCCGCTCTGTCCGCACATGGTGGAGAGAGGAAGCTCTGGTTTCTCTTCCTCTTATGAGGACACCAATCCCATCATGGGGGCGGGGGTGGGGGGCATTTAACCTCATTCTCTCCCAAAGGCCCCACCTCCAGACACTATCACTTTACTTAGGCTTGATCCCATGAATTTTGGAGGAGACAGGATTTGGTCCTTAGCACCAGGTTGCAAGGCTATATTTAAGAGCTGTCAGGGGTGCCTGGGTGGCTCAGTCGGTTAAGCGTCTGACTTGGGCTCAGGTCATGATCTCATGGTTCGTGGGTTTGAGCCACGTGTTGGGCTCTGTGCTGACAGCTAGCTCAGAGCCTGGAGCTTGTTTCGGATTCTGTATCTCCCTCTCTCTCTCTGACCCTCCCCTGCTCACGCTGTCTGTCTGTCTCTCTCTCCCCCCCCCGAAATAAATAAAACATTAAAAATTTAAAAAAAAAAAAAAAAGCTGTCGGATTCATGTTTTTGCAAAGAACTTTTAAAATTGTTTTCAGGGGCGCCTCAGTGGCTCATTCGGTTAAGCAATGGATTCTTGATTTCTGCTCAGGTCATCATCTCAGGGTTCATGAGTTTGAGCCCCATGTGGGACTCTGTGTTGACAGTGCAGAGCCTGCTTGGGATTCTCTCTCTCCCTCTCTGTCAAAATAAATAAACTTTAAAAAATTTTTAGAAATACATTTGCTTTCAGTTCTGTGAAGTCCGTGATCCTCAGTCAGGGGACACTTGGAAATGTCCAGACACATTTCTAGTGGTCACAGCTTGGGGCGGTGCTGCTGGCATCCAGTGGGTAGAGGCCAGGAATGCTGCTAAGTTCCGTCTGGGGCACAGGACGGCCCCCCAGCAGACCGTTGGCGGCGTCGAGGCTGAGACCCTGCACTCAGCCTTGTACAGCCCACGACAAATGACCAACCCACGTGTTTGGTTTTTCTCTTTTCCTTCAGATCCAGGCACTAAGACGTGAAAAGAAGGCAGTGGCTCAGGAAGCAGCGATGGAGGGACGCTTGCCCGTGGCCACTCCCCAGGGCCCCGAGGTGGGGGACACTTGGGAACAAGAGGGTCGGTTCACGGACCGGCAGGAGAACCAGGAAAGCTGTGTGAAGCGAGAGGCCACGGCCCACGGGCAAGAGCCCACCAGGGATGGGGTGCCGGAGGGGGGCGAGCTCGGTGGGGTGCCAGGAACCGGGTCCAGCCCTCCCCCGCCCCAGGCCGGCAGCAGGCCCCAGAGGCGCGGGGCGCCCAGGAAGAACCCCAAGCAGAAGAGGGCGGACTCCGGCGAGGAGGAGGGGGAAGGGGGCGGCCCCCGGAAGCCGTGGAAGTGCGGGGACTGCGGCAAGGCCTTCAGCTACTGCTCGGCCTTCACCCTGCACCAGCGAACCCACACGGGCGAGCGGCCGTTCGCGTGCGCCGACTGCGGCAAGGCCTTCAGCCAGAGCATCCACCTGACGCTGCACCGGCGCACGCACACGGGCGAGCGGCCGTACGCGTGCCCCGAGTGCGGCAAGGCCTTCAGCCAGGGCTCCTACCTGGCGTCGCACTGGCGCACGCACACCGGCGAGCGGCCGCACCGCTGCGCCGACTGCGGCAAGGCCTTCGCGCGCCCCACGCACCTGGCGCAGCACCGGCGCGTGCACACGGGCGAGCGGCCGTACGCGTGCGGCCAGTGCGCCAAGGCCTTCCGCAACCGCTCGTCCCTGCTGGAGCACCAGCGCGTGCACACGGGCGAGAAGCCGTACGCGTGCGCGCGCTGCCACAAGGCCTTCCGCTTCTCGTCGGCGCTCATCCGCCACCAGCGCACGCACACGGCCGAGCGGCCGTACGCCTGCGGCCAGTGCGCCAAGGCCTTCACGCAGCTCGCGCACCTGGCGCAGCACCGGCGCGTGCACACGGGCGAGAAGCCGTACGCGTGCCCCGAGTGCGGGGCACCCTTCAGCCAGAGCGCCTCCCTGGCCGAGCACCGGCGCATCCACACGGGCGAGAAGCCGTACGCGTGCGCGCAGTGCGGCAAGGCCTTCACGCAGGTGTCGCACCTGGCGCAGCACCGGCGCGTGCACACGGGCGAGCGGCCGTACGCGTGCGCCGACTGCGGCCGCGCCTTCAGCAACCGCTCGCACCTGGCGCAGCACCGCCTGGTGCACACGGGCGCGCGGCCGTACCGGTGCCCGGAGTGCGGGGCGGCCTTCGGCCACGTGTCGTCCCTCATCGAGCACCAGAAGGTCCACACGGGCGAGAAGCCGTTCCGCTGCGGGGACTGCGGCAAGGCCTTCAGCCAGGGCTCGTCGCTCACGCTGCACCGGCGCACGCACACGGGCGAGCGGCCGTACGCGTGCCCCGAGTGCGGCAAGGCCTTCCGCAACCGCTCCTACCTGATCCAGCACCACATCGTGCACACGGGCGAGAAGCCCTACGAGTGCGGCGGCTGCGGCAAGGCCTTCAGCTTCTCGTCCGCGCTCATTCGGCACCAGCGGACGCACGCCGACGCGCCCTGCGCGCGCGGCCGCTGCGGGGACGCCGTCGCCCCGCTGCCGCACCTGACTGCGCCCCCGGGCTCCCCCCGGCAGGAGGCCCCCCCGGGCGGCGGCGGCGGCGACCCTGCGGGAAGTGCCGCAGGCCCGCAGGACGAGCTGATGCTTAACGGGGACCTCTGACCGGGTACCGCGCCCAGCACTGTTACACCCCGCTTCCAACCAGATGGCGCCCAAGGGAGGCACCCTGTTCTCGCCGAGGTGCCCGTGGGAAAACCGAGGCCCAGAGAGGCTCAGCGACCTGCCCGAGGTCACAGGGCCAGGACTGGGCTCCACATCTGCCGGACTGCCCCTTCCCAGCACACACGCTCCCTGCCTCCTGGTTGGAAACTATAAATGTGAACCCACGAAAGTAGACCCCAAAGAAGTGTCTGTGTCTCTAGGTAGCCTTTTCATGGTCGAAGGTTTGATGATAACATAGGCATTTGTTCAATAAATTCAATTGGATAAAAAGTTCAGCTCCTTTGGTGAAGTTGGGGTATTGACTAAGGGAACGGGGTCTGAAGGAGTATGGATCCGTGCTTCCAAAATTAGAGCAAACCAGAGACATCCAGAGAAGGAAAAGTTTCAGAAGAGACTTGCCTCTCCCCTGGCAGACCTGCAAAGGGTCATTTTGAGTGGCCCCCAGCCTTTTATTAGGGCGAGGAAACCCATTACCCTTCTCCAGCCTTGTCCTACCCCCAACTCAATATCCTGACTTTAATGGTTGTGTCAGTTAGCTGTTGCTGTGTAACAACGCATCCAGCACACAGTAGGTCCTCAAGAAAGAGTGAGTGACTGAGTGGTTGAACATGCCCAGCTGCAACCCTAGAGCCATTCAGGTCAGGCATGGACGGCACGGTCCGGCTCCTCCTTCTGACCTTCACCCAGGCGCTCAGGGAGGGCTAGGTGAAGGGATGAATGTGAAATGGGACCCCAGTTTACAGACAGAGGCCTGAGTTCAGTCCCCCCAAAGAGCGAGGGAAACTGGTCCCCTGCGGCATAAGGGCTGGGGGTCGCCCGCTCCGCAGAGAACGGGCGGGGCCGTGGGCGGTGCTGTGGGCGGGGCCGCGGGCGGGGCCGTGGGCGGTGCTGTGGGCGGGGCCGTGGGCGGGGCCGGCGTCCGGCCTCTGGGCCCTTCCGCGCGGACGTCGAGGAGCGCCGGCCAGGTGCAGTGCGCAGGTGCAGGTGCCGGAGCTTCGCCGAGAGCTGGCCCGACGGGCGGCCGGTTGGCGGGCCGTGCCCCGGACCGACTCAGGAGGACGGGCGTGTGCGCGACGGGAGTCGCGGCCCCAGAGGACGTGGGCGTGCGTGGTCCCTTCTGTTGCAGAGAGAGTGGCGCGCGGGAGTCCACAGCCGCGGAGGAGCGGAGCCCCGGGAGGGGGAGCTGCCGACAATCCCTGTTGCAGGGCTTTCGGAATGACGGGTAAGGTAGGGGACCTGGAGGTCGGGAAGCCGGCAGCGCAGCCAGCCAGCCAACCCCAAGTTGCTCCCACAAGCCACGGCCATGCCAGTTCTTAGCGTTTTAGGTTTGCCGCATTTGCCAGCTTACCTGCCATCCTCCGTCCCGCGCTAGGTTCCCCAGATACCGTGTGCAGATGCTACCCTGGGTCTAGCATTGTCCTGTTCCCGGAAGGAACCGGGCAGCGTCAAGCGCATAGGGGAGGGGGTCGTCATGGGCTGGGGTCCCACAGGCAGGCGTGCAGGCTGGGAAATCCAGGCTGGACTCTGAAGCCCCCTCCCCCGCTCGCCTTCCCAGGGCTCACTTCCTCCTGGGAGACCCAGGAGCGGAGGTGGACAGACCAGAACCTGGGTATCCCGGCGCGGAAGACCAGGAGAGTGGCCTGCGGAGGTGAGTGTCCCCTGGGGACGGTGCGGGAGGCACCTCTGAGATGTGGGAGCAGAGCACTGCGGGAGGTGAAGGAGCCATGTGAGCTCCTGGGGGAAGAGCGTTCCAGGCAGAGGTCCCTTCCAGGATCAGTGCAAAGGTCCCGAGGCAGGCAGAGGCAGGCACGTGACGGGCTGGTTCACACAGCAAAGCCAGTGCGGATGGAGTGGGGGGTGAGAGCGCGAGCCCTTCCTGCAGGGATGGACACCACTGTGAGGACCTGCTGAACTGGGTGGATGATGAATGGTCTTAATTATGGTGTCAGGGGATCTGGCTGTTGAATGGAGGAGAGAACGTCAGGGGTGCGGGTGGATGCGTCCACCGTGAATGGCATGAGGTTCCTGGCACGCGATAGAACCTAATAGAAGGATCGCTGCTTATATGGTTTCTATTATTACCACGATGATTTCCAATATCCCATGAATTTGATTAAGGTTTGTGGCATGGCCTGAGCGAATCTCCGCCCACAGCCCGCACGCAGCACCTCTGGGCCAGGCATCTAGGATGGCCCCCACAGGTGTATCCTCGTTTCTACCTTGGCCTCCTGCAGCCCCATTCTCTGCCCGCTCCTAGGACAGCTAGTTCCTGCCTCCAGCTGCTGTTCTCCCATCCTTTATTCCAATCACAGTCCCTGCGGCACGGAAGGTCTGGAAGGCGGGGGTGTGTGTGAGGAGAATCTCTCTCCTGAACCCCCACTTTGCCATATGGAAGAGGGGATGAGGGTGGTGGTGGTGCCCATCCCCCCAGCCGCGTAGTCCCCATCCCCTGCAAGGGGGTGAGACTCTAAGGACAATGGAGAGGACAGGTCCCGGAGACCTGATATTTTTAGGCCCTGGGAACAAGCTATAAATTAAGCCAATTTTATCCAGAACTTTGGTGTAACATGAATCAATAATTGATCAATAACAAACTTAAGCTCATGTGAATCAAGCTTCTCTTACTTGCAGCTGATAAATCCTAATGAATGTAACAGCTGAAGCTTGTGTCTCTTTGAAGGGGCCATTATTGCTTGTTTTTTGTTTTTTGTTTTTGGATGCAATCAGCTGGAGGGAAGTAGGGGGAGAGACAGAATCCCATAAATCTCCCTACCCAGATTTTTTTGGCAAACTTGGGAGAGGCCGTTGGAAGTGCTATCAAAACAAAATAACACAAGGAGTATAAATACATACATGCGCGCACACAAGAATTTAAAAAGAGCAGGATGGAAATAACAACCACTAATAGACAAGGTAAATTTTTAAGATAAAATTTAAGCCCAGTGATTTTTAAATTAGGTTAAAGATAATCAACTTTTTGAGCCTGCAAGATGGCGGAGAAGTAGGAAGCTCCGTACTTGCGCTTGCGCTCATACCTCACACGGAAAAGATCTGAAGCCATCGGAAACCTTACGAAACCCGAGAGATTGGGAGAAAAAAAGACACAGAATCCACTGAGAAAGCCTTCTAATGGCTACCTCAAGAAACAAGCCAGAGTACACAAGGTGGAGAGTCCCAAATATCACTACGAGTAGGAAAATAAAATAGCCAAGGACCCAACGAGAGAGACCAAGAGATGCCATTCAAAAAACACTCTCTGAAAGGATAGGCCCTGGACAGTCAAAGAGTCTTCTTGGATACAGCAGCGCTCATAGGTGCCGAAAGATAATCAATTTTTTTCATTTTTAACATATATATTTTTTTTAATTTACATCCAAGTTGGCATATAGTGCGACAATGATTTCTGAGTAGATTCCTTAATGTGCCTTACCATATGACCCGCCCCTCCTCCCGCAACCCCTCCAGTAACCTTCTGTTTGGCTCCACGTTTAAGAGTCTCATGTTTCCCCCCCTCCCTGTTTCTGTATTATTTTTGCTTCCCTTCCCTTTTGTTCATCTGTTTTATATTTTAAAGTCCTCATATGAGTGAAGTCATACATTTGTCTTTCTCTAACTTCACATAGCATGATACCCTCTAGTTCCATCCATGTATTTCCAAATGGCAAGATTTCATTCTTTTTGATTGCTCAGTAATACTTCATTGTAATATATACAACATATCCTTTATCCATTGATCCGGAGATGGACAGTTCAGCTCTTTCCATACTTTGTCTTTTGTGGATAGTGCTGCATTAATATTGAGGAGCATATGTCCCCTAGAAAAAACATACCTGGGGTGCCTGGGTGGCTCATTTGGTTAAGCATTTGACTTCATATCAGGCCATGATCTCACGCTTTGTGGGTTCGAGGCCCGGCATCAGGCTCTATTTTGACAGCTAGCTTGGAGCCTGGAGCCTGCTTCAGATTCGGTGTCTCCCTCCCTCTCTCTCTGACCATCCACTGCCACTCCTGTCTCACTCACAAATAATTAAAAGAATTTAGAAAAAAAGAAACATCATACCTGTGTCACTTGGATAAATACCGAATAGAGCTATTGGTGGGTCGTCCAGTAGTTCTATTTTAAACTGCTTCAAAAACCTTCAAACTGTCTAGAAATTTGCAATCCCACGAGCAGTGGAAAATAGTCTTTCTCTATAACCTCAACAACATCTGTTAATGCATGAGTTGTTCATGTTAGCCATTCTGAGAGGTGTGACGTGGTATCTCGTTGTGGTTTTGAATTGTATTTCCCTGAAGATGAGTGATGTTCAGCATCGTTTCATGTGTCGGTTACCCATCTAAATTTCCCCATTGGAAAAGTGTATGTTAATATCTTTACCCCCTTTCTTCACTGAATGGTTTCGGGGATCTTTGGGTGTTGAGCTGGATAAGTACTTTATAGATTCTGGATGCTGACCCTTTATCTGATATGTCGTTTGCCAGTCTCTTCTCCCATGCCGTCGGTTGCCTTTCAGATTGGCGGATTGTTTCCTTGGCTGTGCAGAAGCTCTTTAGTTTGATGAGGTCCCAATCGTTCGTTTTTGCTTTTGTCTCCCTTCCCTCCGGAGACGTGTCGAGTAAGACGTTGCTGCGGCCGAAGCCTATGAGGTCCTTGCTGCTTGCCCCTCGAGGATTTGGATGGCTTCCTGTCTTTCATCCGTTTTGAGTTTATTGTTGTGGGTGGTGTAAGAAAGGGGTCCAGGTTCATTTTTCTGCACGTCGCGGTCCAGTGGTCCCAGCCCCACTGGCTGGAGAGACGGTCTCTATTGCCTTGAATATCGATTCCCGCTTTCTCAAAGATGAGGTCGCCATGTGTTGGTGGGTCCGTTTCTGCATTCTCTATCCTGTTCCATTGATCCGAGGGTCTGTTCTCGTGCCAGTACCACACTACCGTGGTGGTCACGGCTTTGTAATGCAGCCCGAAGTCTGGGATGTGATGCCTCCTGCTGTGGTGTTCCTCTTCAAGATGGCTTTGTGCATTCGGGGTCTTTTCTGGTTCCATACAAACTTGAAGATTGTTTGTGCCAGCTCTGTGAAGAATGCTGGTGTGATTTTGACAGGGACTGCGTTGAATATGTAGATCACTTTGGGTAGTAGTGACATTTTGACAGTATTTGTTCTTCCTGTCCAGGAGCATGGAATAGTTTCGTGTCTGTGTGTGTGTGTGTGTGTGTGTGTGTGTGTGTCTTCCATTTCCTTTGTCAGCTTTCTAGAGCTTCCAGTGTATGGATCTTCCACCACTTTGGCTAGATTTATTGCTAGGTGTTTTATGGTTTTGGATGCAATTGTAAATGGGATCGGTTCCTTGATTTCTCTTCCCGGTGCTTCATTGTTGGCGTAGAGGAATGCAACCGATTTCTGTGCGTTGATTTCATACCTTGCCCCTTTGCTGAATCCATGGATCAGTTGCAGCAGTTTCATGGTGGAATCTTTTGGGTTTCCCACATGGAGTATCATGTCGTCTGCAAAGAGTGAAAGTTTGGCCTCCCCCTGGCCGACGTGGATGCCTTTTGTTTCTTTGTGTTGTCGGATTGGTGAGGCCCGAGGCTGAGGCTTCCCATACTATGTTGAATGACAGTGGCGAGAGTGGACATCCCTGTCTTGTTCCCGACCTTAGAGGGAATCTCTCAGTTTTTCCGCATGGAGGGTGATATTAGCGTTGGGTCTTTCCTATGTGGCTCTTATGATCTCGAGGCACGATCCTTCGGGCCCTACTTTCTTAAGGCCTTTTATCAAGAAAGGATGCCGTATCGTGCCCAGTGCTTTGTCTCTCTGCATCTGTGGAGAGGATCATGTGGTTCTTGTCCTTTCTTTTACCGATGCAATGAATCACCTTGAGTGTTTTTGCGGATATTGAACCAGCCGTGCATCCCAGGTATAAATCCCTCTTGGCCGTGGTGAATAATTTTTTGATGTATTGTTGGATCTGGTGGGCTAATAATATCTTGTTGAGGATTGTTGCACCCATGTGAATCAGGGAGATTGGCCTAGCCGTCTCGTTTTTAGTGGGGTGGGGTGGGGTGGGGTGGGGGGTGTTGTTCCCGTTCTGGAATCAAGGTAACGCTGGCGTCATAGGAAGAGTTCGTCCATTTTCCTTCCGTGTTTATTTTTTGGAAGAGCTTCAAGAGAATAGGTGTTACCTCTTCCTTAAATGTTCGGTAGAATTCCCCTGGAAAGGCACCTGGCCCTGGACTCTTGTTTTCTGGGAGAGTTTGGATTACTCATTCGATGTGTTTACTGGTTATGGGTCTGGTCAAATTTTCTATTTCTTCCAGCTTCAGTTTGGGCCATTGATATGTTTCCTGGAATGTGTCCTTTTCTTCCAGATTGCCTGGTGTATTGGCGTATAGTCAGCCATAATATTCCTTACTGTTTGTTATCTGTTGGTATTTCTGCTGCGTTGGTTGTGATCGCTCCTCTTTCTTTCCTGATTTTGTTCATTTGGGTCCTTTCCTTTTTGAGCCCACTGGCTAGCGGTTTATCAATTTTGTCAATTCTTCCCAAGAACCAGCTTGCGGTTTCATTGATTTGTTCTCCTGGGTTTCTTTGTATGTTTGTTTGGTTAGTTTGAATAGCATTGGTTTCTGCTCTCGTCTTCATTATTTCCTGTCTTCTGCTGGTTTGGGGTTTTACTTGCCATCCTTTTCCCAGGCGTTTGAGGTGTAAGGTTGGGCTGTGTGTCTGAGACCTCTCTTTCCTTCTTTTGGAAGGCCCGGACTGCTATATACTTCCCTCTTATGGCCGCCTTGGCGGCGGCGCAGACGTTTTGGGCTGTGGTGCCACCCTTGTCATTGGCTTCCGTGTCCTTTCTAATTTCGTCCTTAACTTCTTGGCTAGCCCGTTCGTTCCGTAGTAGGGTGTTCCTTAGTCTCCACTAGAGAATTTGTTATCTTCCCACGTTTTTTTCTTGTGGTCGATTTCGAGTTTCATAGCGCTGTGGTCTGAAGATACGCACGATCTGCTCCCAGTCTGTTTGTACTCGTTGAGGGCTGATTTGTGGCCCAGGATGTGGTCTGTTCTGGAGAAGCTCCGTGTGCCCTGGAGAAGAATGTATCTCCCACTGATTTCGGGTGGAATGTTGTGAATATATCTTTGAAGTCCCATCTGGTCCCGTGTGGCATTCCGAGCCATGGTTTCCTTGCTGGTTTTCTGTTCAGATGATCGGTCCATTGCTGTCAGTGGGGTGTTGAAGTCCCCTACTAGGATGGTATTCTGCTCAGTGAGTTTCTTTTTGTTTGTGAGTCACTGATTTCTACATTTGGGTCTCCCACCTTAGGAGCATAAATGTTTACAACTGGTCTGTCTTCTTGGTGGACAGACCCCCTTGATCACGATATAATGCCCTTCTTCGTCTCTTGTCACAGTCTTTATTTCCAAGTCTAGATTGTCTGCTATAAGGATGGCTACTCCGGCTTTCTTCTGGTGGCCATCGGCATGACAGAGGGTTCTCCATCCCTTTACGTTCGGTCTGCAGGTGTCTGTAGGTCTAAAGCGGGTCTCTTGGAAACAGGGTATAGGTGGATCGTGTATTCTTACCTATTCTGTCCACCGCCTATCTTGTGATTGGAGCAACTAGTCCACTGCCGTTGAGAGTGAGTACTGAAAGACATGAGTTTATTGCCATCGTGTTCTTGGAGAGTTGGAGTTTCTGGTGGTGTGCTCTGGTCCTTCCTGGTCTTTGTTGCTTTTGGTCTTTTATGCTACCCCCCCACCCCCCGACTCCTTTCGTCCCCTGAGAGAGTCGCCCCTGAAACTTCTTGCAGGGTTTGACTGGTGGCCACGAACTCCTTAAATTTTTGTGTGTCTGGGAAACTTTTAATCTCTCCTTCTGCTTTGAATGACAGCTTTGCTGGATAAAGAATTCTTGGCTGCATATGTTTCCGATTCAGCACATTGACTATATCCTGCCACTGCTTTCGGGCGTGCCAGTTTCTGTGGATAGGTGTGCTGCAACCCTGGTCTGTCTTCCTTTGGAGGCTGAGGATTGTTTTTCCCTTGCTGCTTTCAGGATTCTTTCCTTGCCTGAGTATTTTGTGAATTTGACTCTGATATGCCTTGTTGATGGTCGGTCTTTGTTGAATCTTGTGGGAGTCCTCTGTGCTTCCTGGATTTTGATGTCTGTGTGTTTCCCCAGGTTCGGAATGTTTTCCGCTATGATTTGCTCACATAACCCTTGTCCCCCTATTTCTGTCGTTTCCTTCTCGAGACTCGTATGATTGTGATATTCTTCCTTTTCAATCTGTCCCTGATTTCTCTTAGATTTAAATCATGTTCTTTCGCTTTAATCTCCGTCTTTTGTGCCTCAGTTTTCTCCATAAGTTTGTCTTCTCGATGGTTGATTGTCTGCCTTGCCTTATCGTGCCTTGCTGCTGTGCTATTGCATTGGGGTATCAGCTGAGTTGTAGCATATTTTATTTTTCTTAGCTAGCTTTTAAATGTTTATTTCAGTGGAGACGAATTCTAACCTATTTTTGACTTCTGCCAGTATTCTTATTATGATTCTAAGTACTAGTTAAGACCTGTTGCTTGTATCTGTGATGGTTAGGTCCCTGTGCGTCATTTTCCTGTTCTTTCTTTTGGGGTGAATACCTTCATTCATCATTTTGAAGGAAGGAAAAGTATAAGTAAAATTATTTTTAAAATGTTTTTATTTTTATTTTTAGGGGAGATAGAGACAGCGTGAGCTGGGGAGGGTCAGAGAGAGAGGGAGTCACAGGCTGAAACAGGCTCCAGGCTCTGAGCTGGCAGTCAGCACAGAGCCCGACGCGGGGCTCGAACCCACGAACTGCGAGATCATGACCCAAGCGAAAGTCGGACGCTTAACCGACTAAGCCACCCAGGCTCCCCAGTAAAATTATTTTTAAAATTGAAAACACGCACGCACAAATCAAATAAATGATGCTAGATCCTAGGTGTGTTTTGTTCTGCTTATTGAAAGGAGCTTGTTTCTTTGGAGAAATAAAGGAAGAACAAAACGGAACCTTTGAATATTTGAGAAAAGGAATAGAATGAAATAGAATAATTTGACCTTATGGAAGTAAACTCTAATTTGAAATATTTACAAAATATTACAAATTTAAGAAACGATAATATATTTTTTAAAAGTTGACAGAATAATTTTTTTTATAATCAAGTAAAAGAAATGAGAAACAAGAAGAAAAATTAGATAGGTGAACCAGCAAACAGAGTGAAACGTGACTGATAGTACATCATTTTCCTTTGGAAATGAACCCATGAAGCACTTTATAGTCTGTAAACTAAGGAGGTGGAGAGATTTGTAGTGTTTCTCAAGATAGAGGCTGGCTCCATTCTACAGGCTTAGTGTAATGGCTCCATTTTCCTGTAGATGGCGCTGCTTAGCTTACTGAGGTGGATTGTTGTGGCACCTGTAGGTGTGTATGCACATGCGTGTCACTGGTGAAAATGCCATCACCCAGGTATGCAGGCTGTATCAGCAGTCTGTTCTCTCCCTTACCGGGAATTGTGCACCTGTCCTTTGTCTCCAGTTGCCACACACTCCCTGGTTTTACACTGTCAGTGACCATGCGGTCAGTTGCCAGGCGGCACCTCCCTCCTGAGTATTGGCTGAGATGCAGCATTGTTTCCCTGCCCCTCTTCTGAGGGACTGTGGCTTTGACCTGCTCAGATCCTCTGGGGGACGGTCCACGGAGCAATGCCAAGTGCCAGTCACACCCAGGAGTGTTCGCAGGTCGTGCTACTGCCGGTGTCCAGGGACTTGTGGCTGGGAGCCAGCCCACCCCAGAAAAAGTTCATGTGATTATGTAGAAGCGTTTCAGGGATTATGGAAAATCACTGGTGACCCAAAGACTTCCCAGACCCCTTCTGCTCCTGTGAATTCACCCTTCTCACCAGAGCACCCCTAGATTGAGCTGTGGGGTATCAGCCTCTGCGCTCCCCGTATATAGAGTCTTGCTGGAATTTAAACTCTGCCCTTTCTCGCCTTTCAGTTCAGTCTCTGCAGCTTTTTCCACTTTTCTCTCCAGCTGCTTTTATGGGAGGTAATCCCCCCCCCTCCTCCCGTACTCTCCCCCCATCTCTGTCCTTTCTCTGCAAGCAAAAATAGCTCCCTGCCCTCCATGTTTCCTCTCTCCCCCCCTCACCTCTCCGTGCCATGTACCTGCTGAGTTCTGTGGTTCAGGTTGTGCAGATTGCTGTGTTAGTCCTCAAATCCATTTTCTAGGTGTGCAGGATGGTTTAGTGTTGATCTGGCTGCAGTTCATGTATGCGAGACAGAAAAAAGACTTGCATGCTGTTCCGCAATCTTGGCTCCTCCCAAAGACAATCATTTTGTATCTCACAAAGGATTCAGAATCAGGTTTAAACTAAGGTTTATTACATGGCTACTACTGCCTGGCATTGTGCTTGGTGTTTTATGTTTATTATTTAATTGGCAACGACATAACAGTGCTATACCTTATATGCGTCAAATTACACACTGGCTGAATTCATAAAGCGAAGTTTACAAAAATATATTGACAAACATAGTCATACTAACAGATTTTCACATAACCTTACTGGTTTTTGACATAAGGTGAGCCAAAATTAATTAACACCTGAATCTAAACAATACAATTTATAATACTTAGTTAACAGACATGTAAAGTTGTGAATTCTACAGACTGAAAACACATATTCATCTTAACTGTCCATGAAACATATACAAACACTGACAGGTTTTAGGCCACAATAAAAGCTTTTAAAAAGCTTTTGAAAGCAGATATATTAGAGGCCACGTTTTTTGTTCACAGTGCAGTACATCAATAAAACGATTTTTAAATAAACCTGATCACTGAGTTTCAAAGCTCTCTTTAGAAACACTACAATATAAATTTAGACAACAACAAACAAGAACACTACAATATAAATTTAGACAACAACAAACAAGAACACAAGTTATCAAATTAAAATGTGGCCAAGGCTATAATCAGAAGCATATTTATTATTAAGTATACTATTTTAGCAAATAATTTTATAAAAAATCATAAATGAATTATTCAACTTAAAAACAGACAAGGAATAAATAAAAAGTGAACCCAGTATGTATTAATACAAAACAAAAGATACTAGAGAAATGTGGATATAAATAAATCCTAATGCTAGTACTTTGGAAAAGTAGTAGTAAACTAGATAAAACTTTGACAAATCTAATAATGGGTAAACCACAAGCAGAAGTTGAAAGGAAGAAAGGGGACAGAGCAAAATAAAGAGAAGATTTTCATTTAATTACAGAATAGTATCCATAATTAAGCTAATAATCTGAAAAGTTCAATGTAATGGAGAATTTTCTAGGACATAAAAAAATGCTATAAATCATCAAAATTAATGAAATGAAAAGTACTGATAAACTGATAACAGAAGAAGAAACTGAGAAAGCCGCTCAAGAATTTAGCCGAAACTTTCTCTCCATAGGTCTAGGCCTTGATTGCCTTACTGGTGAATTCCTTCAAAATGTCAAGGAAGTAATACTTCTTAAGCTACAGAAACTATTCTAAGGCTTAAAAAACAATAAAGGTTACATCCTTCTATGATGCAAGCCTAGCTGTGTTACCAAAACTTCACAAAGATAGCACCAATCTTACATACGAAGATAGAAGGGAGAATCGTACATAAAATATCAAGAAATAGAATTCAGTATCTGAAAAGACTAGTGTACCACAACCCTACGAATACAAAGAGGATCTGATATTAAGAAATCTACCAGATTTCACCAATCCTAAATTGCACATTTTTTCATCGTCTCTGAAGCCAGGACGTGTCTTCCACTTGGTGGCATCTGACAGTTAATTAGCATGTCTTCTCTTTCTCAGTGGTATATAAAGTAATACGTGTTTTACAATCAATGATGTCTTAAGTTCAATGAAACGGAGGAATGCAAAACCTCACACCAAAAGGTGAAATACCAAAAAAAAAAAAAACAAAAAAACCCCATCTTGATGGATGTTTAAAAGGCATTTGCTAATATTCAATACCTATTCCTGATTTTTAACCAAGACATTTCCTTAAGGAGAAACAGATCACTTATTTCAAAACAACAGCCACCGCTGTAGTTAAATGTGAAACATCATAGGCATCCCCGTCAAAACCAGGAACAAAAACAGGACACACACCACCAGGACTATGGTTGTTTGTTGTGGGGCTTTCGACCACTCCACGAAGCCCTGAAACAGAGAAGAGAGAGAGTGTGAATGTTGGAAATGGAGGGGACACCATTGTTTCCTGCAGAGAAACGTGATTGCAGGATTGCGAACGAAGTGATGTATGAACTGAAAAGCTGAATCCACAACCGTACAATGAAGTGACCAAAGTAACATAAATATACAAAAGTAAGTAGCACACTGATGCTCTATCAGAGGAAAGATCACTCTAATGATACATGCGATGAAAAATTTCAAGATGACATATAAAGTCTCACAGTATTAAATACCATCTGTATACACCAGTGACCCAACTGTGTGTGTGACCCAACCCATCTCCCACATTTCTAACTGATAAGTTTCACCATCTACTTGACATCTCCACTTGGATATCTTTTTTTTTTTAATATTTGTTTTTTGGAGGGTCAGAGAGACGGGGACAGAGGATCCAAAGCAGGCTCTGCGATGACAGGCTGACAAAAGTGAGCCCAATGTGGGGCTCGAAGTCACGAACTAGAAGATCAGGACCTGAGCCAAAGTTGCACACTCAACTGACTGAGCTGCCCAGGCGCCCCTCCGTTTGGCTATCTAATGGGTATCTGAAACTACACATCCCAAATGTCCTAATATCCCTCCCCCAACTCAAAAAAAAAAAATCTCCTGCTGCTTCCCCATCTCCCTCCTTCAGGCCTCTGTGGCATCCTTGATGCTGCTTTCTTTCTCACCACGCACATTCAAGCCATCAACAAATGCTGTTGGCTTTACCTTCAAAAGTATATTTATATTATATAAATATTGTATATTTATGTTACTTTACATCCGGAAGCTGACTACTTCCACCCTGGTCACAGCCACCACCACTCTTATTTCTTCTCTTGGTGCTACCCCAACCCCCAACTTCTTCTCCATGGGGCGGCTAGAGTGCTCCTTCCAAAGCTGACGTCACTCCCTGCATTACTCATTCTTCCCCAGCCACTCTCACCTCCCAAGTTTCTTCTTCCTGAAATGTTTTTTACCCAAGTATCCGTGAGACTTTCTGTCACTCAGTCTCCATCACTTCCTTAAAAAAATCTTCTCTCATCACGGTGTTTAAAACTGCACACCCCAATACCTCCCCACAGAAAACCCCAGAACTACTCACCCCCTTGCCCAGCTTTCTTTTGCTCCATGCCCTTTAAGGGCAAAGACTGTGATTTATTTGCTCATGACTGTATTCCTGGTGCCTGGAACAGCGCCTGACCCAGAGTACAAGCTCTATAAACAACTACAAATAAACACATGAATGGAAAGACCTTTCGTGATGAAGGATGGGAAGACAAAATGGCTTATGGTGACAATTCTTTTCCAAATTAGTGATGAGTTTAGTGCAACTGCCATTAAAATGTCAGGAAGTTTGGGAAATGGATATGACATAATGACTTATCTGGAAAGCTAGGCAGTGGTGATATGAAAAAGATCCTGAAAAAGAAGAGAAGTGGACGGAGCATATACTGTCAAGTGTCAAAGCGCATTAGAGACCCCTGATGGAATTCACATCTCTAATCCTCGGAGAAGGACTAATTCTCCCCCCTGGCCTGCTGTCTCCCGCTGGAGGCCATCGCATTTCAAAGCTCCTCCTCCTTACACCCTGGAGATTACAGACCACCGAAGCAGCTCCCAAGCCCGGCAAAGCCGCAGGAGAACTTGGGTGGGCTCCACCCTCGGAGTTTCTGACTCCGTGCATCTTGAGCAGGCCCAGAGAATACAGGTTTTTATGAAGTTCCTCATAATTCATGCTGTAGGACAGTGTGACAAAGACATTCTTCTGCAGCGACGGCAACCTGACCATCAGCTGAGGAAATGGTCCAGACAGAGCATACTACACAATATGTGGCAGGTGTAAAAAGTAAATTTGAAAAAGAACAAGGGCACCTGGGTGGCTCTGTTAAGCATCCGACTTCAGGTCAGGTCACGATCTCGTGGTTCGTGAGTTCAAGCCCTATGTTGGGGTCTGTGCTGACAGCTCAGAGCCTGGAACCAGTTTTGGATTCTGTGTCTCTCTCTCAAAAATAAACATTAAAAATTTTTTAAGTGCACACATTCTAATGGTACAATCTTCAGAAGGTGAGTGGCCTGTGTCACCAGCTCCCAGAACAAGCTGTATCCCTAAGTCCTCCCCACTCATGCTCCCCCCCCCACCTAATCCCTCTCAAAACTAACGCTGTTTCCACTTCTCATGGTGTAGACAAGTTCTGTCAGTACAGCAACTTGTACCCACTAGGAGTTATTTCTGGGCGTTGGCATTTCTCCCTTAGCCTCACACACTTAGATAAGGTTTGCATTTGTGACAAATGCTTGTATTTTGTGGGACAGAGTGATGGGACCATTTTCTCCTCCCTGCTTTCCCGTGGGGCCACAGGGAGGAACTTCTGCCCTCTTGGAAAAATCAGGAAAGTAACTCTTCTTCCTTCTCCTCCATGAGAGGTGGAGTGAGATCTGATTCATGGGATGGGCACAGGCCCTTATCCCTAGTCCTCCTTTGGGGAGGCGGGGAGGCAGAACAAAGCCCCAGACAGGTAGGTACCTTAATATTCAAGAGACACACTGGATTCAAATCCCAGCTCCACTGTTTATGAGCTAAGTGACCTAGGGAAAGTTGCTTAACTTCTCTGTGCCTTAGTTTCCCCATAATTAAGGTTGGACCATAACAGATCCTATCTCAAACTGTTAAAAGGTTATCAAATAAAGGGCACCTTTGATATTCAGTCAGTTAACCATCCGACTTTGGCTCAGGTCATGATCTCACAGTTCATGGGTTCCAGCCCCACCTGGGGCTCTGTGCTGACAGCTCAGAGCTAGGAGCCTGCTTTAGATTCTGTGTCTCCCCCTCTCTCTGCCCCTCCCCTGGTCATGCTCTGTCTCTGAAAAATGAATAAACGCTAAAAACTAAAAGATTATCAGATAAATTGAGGGAGATGCACAGTGAGGGCTACAGAGCCTGGCTATTGTTGTTATAAACAGTCTATGATCCCATCCGGCCTCACCCTCTTTGTTTGGAAGGGGGGCCCCAACAGGAGGGAGACTGTCCATGCAGGAAGCTCAGGGGGGAGGGCGGCAGCCTATGAGAGGTGCCCTCCCTCGGTCTGGTCCACGAGCCACAGCTCCTTGAACGAATGAATGAATGCTGTTGCAGAGGCCTCTAGGCACCCCCCTGCCCTTATACAGTGCCCTGTGCTACTTTCCTCACCTTAAGGGAGGGGAGCCATACTAACTACCCCATAGAGCTCTCGAGTTAATAGCGAGAGACAGTGAAGGTTGGTGAGCAAATGAATTAACAAGGAGCAGCAGTATGAACCAAGTCAGGCTCATGACACGCACGGTGTGAATGGCAGCTCGTGTCTGTATCATTCTCACCCATTTTGTTTCCTACCTGGCGGTTCCCGACTGGCTCCCACACCTATCCCTCCACCTCATCCCACCCCCTTCCTTCCACAGGGGCTACCAGCAAAACTTCAGCAAATCCCTCGAATGGCTCCCCGCTGCCTGTAAGGCACACCCAGCCCCTGTGGCATGGAACCCGGAAGCAAGAGGGGTCCCGTTAAAACGTAAGTTGGAACAGTTCCCTCCTCTGTCCAGAGCACAAACCAAATCCAAATTCTTACCGCGGTCGACAGACACTACATCAGCCATCACCTCTGTGACCTTGTCTCCTTCTACTCCCTCCCACTCTTCTCCAGTCCCTCTACTGCTGTTCCTCACGTGTGCCGGGCACACTCCTACCCCAGGGCCTTTGCACTTGCTGTGCCCCCTTTGCCTAGAACCTCTTCCCACTGGACACCTGCCAGTCTCGCTCTCCCACTTCTTTCATGCCTTTACTCCACTATCTCCCTCTCAGTGGGGACTTCCCTGGACTCCCTTCTTGAAATGGCAACCCCTACCCCATACTCTTGAACCCCCTTCCTGCCTTATTTTTCTCCAAAGCACTTATTGCCATCCAGCATGATTTGTAATTTAGTCACTTACTTTGCTTGTTGTCTGTCTATCTTGGTGACTGGAAGCCCAATGAAGGGAGGTGCCGTTTCTATCTGATCCACTGTTGTACCTCAGGGTCTTGAACACTGCCCGGCACATAGTGTGTGCTCAGTAAACAGTTGTGGAATGAATGAATGATCTCATTCCAGCCAGATTTTCACCCACACCCCCTACTGCTCTCCCCTGAAGCCCAATGTTCCCCCAGATATGCCATGCTACATCATGCCTCTATGCCTTTGTAGATGCTGTTCGCTCTGCCTGTGGAGATGAAAATACACCTTTTCCTTCCCTGCTCTGTAAATTCTTACCCCTAAGAATTGTTGTTCCCCATCTCTGGAATATTCTAGAATAAGCCTCTTCACCCACAAAGTTAACTTCTTCCTTAGAGCCATTCCACTGTCGCCAGTACTTGTTTCTGCACTCTCATGGTTTCCTCCCCCTCCTCAATGTGAGTCAGTAAATCGCCTTCCTGGCTTACACCAATCTGAGTTGGATTTCTGACATACGATTGGGAGATGGGACCCTCTTGTTGCTGAGAGTGGTTATGTGATTTCCTAATGCATAAGATAAATGAATAAATAAAAGAACCACTGTTAGTATTTAACATATTGATGTCTTAGGTTCCCCGAAGAAAACATTAGGTGTTTACATGAAAGGAATGTGCTTGATAAATCTGTTTGGTTTCACTCATGGTATTTAGATTAAAACCGAGGAAGTGGTTAGTGGATGGATGGGTACAGATGGAGGGAGGGCTGAGTGGATGGAGAAAGATGAACAGATGGAATGGAGGAGTAGGCACGTGGGTGGGTGAACAGAAACCAAATCCTGACCGTGGCCAATAAGTAGTGGATAGATAAAATGAGTAGGTAGGTAACGGGATGGGTGGATGGGTAAGCGGACAGATGAGGTAGATGAATGGACGGGCTGAATGGGTAGATGGATGGGCCAGCAAATGAAAGGTTGGGTGGGTGTATGAGGGGACAGATGAATGAATGGTTAATTTGAGTTTATGAGTGAAGGGTTTTGGGGTATGTGTGAATGGAGACCCTCCATGCCGTGTCTGACTACCATAGGAATATGTCCTACTTCTCACGGGAGACTTCTCGGGGGCTCACATTCCCCAGACTTCCGTGACGCAGGGAAATTCTGAGGAAAGAAAGTGATGGCCCACTGAGATCACAGGGTGGGGCATTTGCGAAAGAGGAAGGAACCTCCCAACATACCTGCGAATCCTCTGACTCATCATCTCCCTCCACCGAAGTCCACTCCTGAGCCACCCCTGTCTCTTCAGAGGATACACCTGAGTAAAGGACAAAGGGGCAGGAGTGAGTGACCAGGCCAGCTGGGGGGGTGGGGGGGTGGGCTCTGCCTGCTTGCCCCACCTGGCATCCTATCCCTCTTCTCCTAATTTCCTACAGCGCATGCACACACATTCTGGCCCACGTGGTTCAGATGGGGCAGAGGGAATAGGAGACCTGAATTGTGGTCCCCTTTCTGTCATTACCTGGAAGACTTAAAGTGGGTCACCTGATGCGATCTGCCACCAGAGCCTCTGTTCCTTCACCTGTCAAATGGGTAAAACAGTCCCTTCTCTCCAGGCCTCCCGCAAAATCAAGTGAGGTTTTAACCCATGAACCAAACCGGGATGAAGCAGGCTTCCCCAGCCTCCAGCTGCAGGTAGAAAAAACTCCTCATGTTAGTACCTCAACATCCTTCACACTCCTTGGCTGGTTAGAACTGGGGGTCATGCCGGGGCACAGTCGGTTGGGCCTCCGACTTCGGCTCAGGTCATGATCTTATGTTCGTGGATTCGAGCCCCGTGTCGGGCTCTGTACTGACAGCTCAGAGCCTGGAGCCTCCTTCGGATTCTGTGTCTCCCTGTCTCTCTGTCTCAAAAATAAATAAAACATTGAAAAAAAAAAAAAAGAACTGGGGGTCAGGCCAAAGCTTGGCATTTTCCATTCTTCCTGCACCCAGGCCCTGCTAGGAGCCCCCAAAGCCCCTCCCCACTACCATGAAGGACGCCCACAGCATCCTCACCTCTGTCCAACGCCTGCTCGTCCCCTGTGGGAGAAGGAAAGACCCTGCCCCGGCTGAAGGTCCAGACCCCATTCTGCTGCAGGCCTGCCTTCCAGGGGTCTGCATCTCAGCAAATGGCATCAACCTTTGTCGAGCAGTTTGAACCCAACCCCCCAGGAGTTATCCTTGGGGGTCTCTCTAGTTCTCCCCCCACCCCGCCCCGCACCTCCCTCAGCAACAACTCCCATTCTCCCTCCCAAAGGTATCCCCAGTCTCTCCACTTATGTCCACCGCTGCCACACGGAGCAAGGGGGTCCCTCTCCCAGATGGCTGCAGGAAACTCCTGTCTGGCCTCCCAACCCGACCGTTCCTTCCCACACGCAGCTGGATGCAGGCACGGTTTCTCAGGTTTCTCACCCTGGCGGAGTGACACTGCCGGCCCGCCTCGCATTCCTTAGAGCGGGGGCGGGTCCGGTGCCCCGTAGGACTTCTAGCAGCACTGCCTCTGCCCAGCTCCGGCAGCCCAAACTCCAGACTTTGCCAAACGTCCCCAGGAGGGGAGATGGCGTATAACCTCGCCTCCAGCGGAGAACCACGGAGTTAGAAGAATCTCTTTGAAATACAAATGACGGGGCGCCTGGGTGGCTTAGTGGGTTAAGCGTCCGACTTTCGCTTAGGTCATTATCTCGCGGTTCGTGGGTTCGGGCCCCGCGTCGGGCTCTGTGCTGACTGCCAGCTCAGAGCCTGGAGCCTGTTTCAGTCTGTGACTCCCTCTCTCTCTCTCTGACCCTCCCCTGCTCACGCTGTCTCTCTCTCTCTCTGTCCTAGAAATAAATAAAACATTAAAAAAAAAAATGAAATACAAATGAGATCCTGGCCGCCTCCTCTTCAAAACCTTCGCGTGGCTCCCCAAAACTCCCCAACAACGGGCACGGCGCCCCATCGCTGGCCCTGTCTGAGCCCTGTCTTTCCCCTCTGCTCTGGTCACCACAACCTCCTGGGACAGCAAGCTTGTCGCCACGGCGAGTATTGCATGTGTAGCCCGGGCTTTTTATTTCGTAACTTGTCGTCTGTTTCTCCACTAAAATCTGAGCTCTACTGGGGCCATCTCGTCCGCCGCTAGATCCTGGCACACAGTCGGTGCTTGTGGGAGATTTTTATCCCAAAGGACCTTCAACTTGTTCACTGGTCCCTGAGTTCACACCCCTGAGCTGCCCCCTCCCTCAGTGATGCTAAACCTGACCGTGTAGCTTATTTTGACCAACGGCCCGTGAGCAACTAGGTTGCCAACACACCTTAAACGGGGCTTGTGAACTGAGGCCTCCCCTCTCTTACCTGCAACCAAGAGAATGCAACTCTCGTGAGAACGGGCCTTGGCTGCACTGAGCAACTCTCGTCCGGCGCCGGCAACTCTCGTGAGAACGGGCCTTGGCTGCACTGAGCAACTCTCGTCCGGCGCCGGCAACTCTCGTGAGAACGGGCCCCGGCTGGACTGAGCAACTCTCGTCCGGCGCCGGCAACTCTCGTGAGAACGGGCCCCGGCTGGACTGAGCAACTCTCGTCCGGCGCCGGCAACTCTCGTGAGAACGGGCCCCGGCTGGACTGAGCAACTCTCGTCCGGCGCCGGCAACTCTCGTGAGAATGGGCCTTGGCTGGACTGAGCAACTCTCGTGAAAATGAGCCTGGACAACTCTCATGAGAATGGGCCCCGGCAGGACTGGGCAACTCTCGTCCGGCGCCGGCAACTCTCGTGAGAATGGGCCTTGGCTGGACTGAGCAACTCTCGTGAAAATGAGCCTGGACAACTCTCATGAGAATGGGCTGGGGCAGGCCAAGGCAACTCTCGTGAGAACCATCCTTGGATGGCCTGGGCAACTCTCGCGAGAACGGACCTAGGCTGGCCGGCTATAGCTAGCACCCTGGAACCAGCTGGACACTCGAGGTCGACCAGCTGCCTTGACAGCTCACTGTGGCTGCAGGTGCAGATGCAGGTAAGGGAAGCCAGCGAGCTGTCCCCTGAGCCCATGTCATCCTGCTGACCTGCAGCATCATCAGCAGATCAATGACTGTTGCTTTAAGCCACTGAGTTTTGGGGCGACTCGCTCCACAGCAAAAGCTGACGGCCACATGGCTCCATAAATATTCGGTGAATGAATGTTAATGAATGTTGTGTCTCCCCCGCCCCCCAACCTCCCACGGGATCCCCCACCCCCTCACCTTTCTCGTCACCGTCACGGCTGGCGGGCCCGACCTCCAGCGCCACCCAGTCTTTGGTGGAGGCGGCGCGCTTCTCCCAGGCCCTGCTCTCCCGAGGCAGCAGCGTCTTGGCCCTCTCGGGCTCCAGCAGCCCCCGAATCTGCTCAGGCCTGAGGTTCTGCATCTTCCCGAGAGGTGGGGTTTGCAAGGCAAGTTCCTCTTTCTCCTCCAGCTCCCGCTGGGTTCCCGGGCACGGGATTCAGAACCTGAGGACTGACAAATATTTAGTCATTCATCAAGTATTTACAGTGTCACCTAGGTGCCAGAGACAGCGCAGTGATGGAGGCAAAGCCCATTGCTCTTGTGGGGCGGGGGTGGGACCAGACAGCGCACCAAGTGATGGTCAGTGCTCTAGGGAACAAATGAAGCAAGAGAGGGAATAGGAGTTCCAAGGTGGGGGGCAGAGAGCGGTGCCTGGGCGGCCCAGTGGGCTAAGTGTCTGGCTCTTGATTTCAGCTCAGGTTATTATCTCATAGTTCGTGGGATCGAGCCCCACGGCTCTGCACTGACATCTCGGAGCCACCTTGGGATTCTTTCTCTCCCTCTCTCTGCCCCTTCCTTGCTCATGTGTGCTCTCTCTCTCAAAATAAACATTTAAACAAAATACTCGTTAATATTCTCATTGTACATACCTTGTCAACCCGAATTTCAGAAGGTTGTTTGCAAGAAGGTATCTGAGCTACGTTGTGTAACCCTTTACCTTGAAACTAACACTGGTTTACTATCTTATTCTAAGAAACTGCATGTATCATCCACATTGTGTTTTATTAACCCACCGAATGCCCTCGTGAATAGTAACTTTAAAAAGAGAGTAAATCGTCTTGGTGTGGAGGGAAAAAAAGCTTTTTAAAGCATTTTCTCCTTTGATTACATTTATGCAAATAAAATTTATTATATCAAAATTTAAAACCATAGGGAATACAGTCTAGATTCAAAGAGATGTTAGCAACTCCACAATCAAATGCATGTAGGAACCATGGTTGGACTCAGAATCAAAGAAACCTGGTGTGAAAAAAATTTTTAAGACCAGGAAATTGATTATGAACTGGGATGTCAAGGGATTCTCATTGGTTTCATTGGGTGTGGACATGGCCTTTTGGACAGTTAAGAAAATGTCCATCTCAATTTTTTTAGAGATGTCTTTGTGGTATGTGAGGGTGAACTGATGAGTGATGGCTGAGATTTGCTCTAAAATACTTAAGAGGGGCGCCTGGGTGGCTCAGTCAGTAGAGCATCTGACTCTCGATCTCAGGGTCGTGAGTTCAAGTTCCATGTTGGGCGTGGAGCCTACTTCAAAATATAAGATAAGATCTTCTGCAGTGAAGGCAAAACAAATAGACAAAAGGGGTCAGAGCAAACAAATGATTTCTGAACCTGGAAAATGGAAGGATGGTGGCTCTCAGAGCCATCCTTGTACCTGTGAGTAGATCTGAAATGTTTTCTTAACAGAAACTAACATGCATTGTGGGACGCAGAAAATGTCCTTTGCTTCTACATCACTATCATCATGTAGGTCTTCCTTACGGACAGGGGTGACTCACAGACCCTCAAAACCCAAATTCAAATGCATTTCCCCAGATACCTGTGCCTTCTCTCCCCAGCCCCCTGCACACTCTGCCTCCTGGGTCCCCTGCTCTTGGCCAGGGCGCCACCATCTTCCCTGCCAGTGTCCACTAGCCTCACTGGCCTGGGCGGGTCAGTCGGTTGAGTGTCCGGCTTTGGCTCAGGTCATGATCTCGTAGTTCATGAGTTCAAGCTCCACGTCAAGAGCTGTGCTGACATGACAGCTCGGAGCCTGGAGCCTCTGCTTCGGATTCCGTGTCTCCCTTTTTCTCTCTGCCCCTCCCATGCTTGTTCTCGTTCTCTCTCATAAAATGAATGAATACTTAAAAATTTTTTTAAATTATAAGAGAACTGGTTACAGGGTGAGGGCAGATTAAGACTGGAGATAAGATTAAGGTCACAAACTCACAGTTTGTGGGTTCAAACCCCACGTCGGTCTCTGTGCCACCAGTGCAGAGCCTGCTTGGGATTCTCTCTCTCTGCTCCTCTGCACCCCCTTCTCTCTCTCTCTCAAAATAAAGGCACTTGAAAAATATTCTCCACATTTCAATATGCTCCTCTGTAAAATGGGGGTGTCTATAGTAGCGGCTACCTCAGAGCTGTAGTGAGTTTTCTTCTAAAACCAAAGGAGATGAATACCTCCAGCCTGGTAAGTGGAGGAACAAACCAGTGCTCTGTCCTTGCGCTTCTGTGCCTGGAAACTGTGCCCACACCTCAGGGCTGAGCCGAGACCTCACTTCCTGTGGCACCCCGTTAAAACTCGCCACCCGCGAGTATTTGAATGCAAATGACATTTTCAAAGCATTTCTCAGCCCGAGCTTTGTGCCACACCTGTACTGAGTACCGGGGACGGGAGGAGGAGCTGGGCCCCTTCCGTAGCTCACTGTCCCGGCGGGAGGAAGAAAAGTGCGTGCAGGGGAGCACGGGGAGCAGCTGACCTGGTGTTGCAGGGCAGGCCCCCTCCAGGAGTTTGGACGCAAACTAAAAAGCTATTAAAAGAGTCCGTCCCCACCCACACCTCCCGCTTTTACTTCCACTGTTTGAAAGTGAAAATTAAATACTTCCCTGAGAAATACTTCTCTGTGGTAAGGAAAACGGGAGCAAATGCCAACGTGAGCGGAGCCTGGTATGGGCAGAGGGGACACGGAGTAGTGGCGACTGTGTCTAAGGAGCGGCCCCGTTCCGTCCAGCCCGTACTTGCAGGGTGAGAACGTGGGCCCAGCGTCTCCTACCGTCCCACTCAAGAGAACCCCGGAAGTCGACAGTTTCAGAGGACATCTTCCGCACTGCAAAATGCCAATACTTTCAAATGTTTAAAAGGAAGCCACCAGGCCAGCGAGCCCAAGGGCACGGGTCGTGGGGCTGCAATCTTGGTGTGCGCCGGCGGGGGCGTAGCGGGTGGGGAGAGGCGGCTGGGAACCCAAACATTTTCCACGGGGAAAAAAATACTGGCCTTCGTGAAAGAGTTAGTGAAACGGCACGAGTGGGGGTCGTGTTTGGTTCTTTTTTCCTTTTCTTTTTTCTCTCTCTGTTTCTAATATGAGATATAATTCTGTGTTGAAGAGAATACGAAAGGCGGCCCAGGGAGAGGGGTGGCCAATGGAGATGGGAGCCTGGGGGCCCAGGTCAGAAGAGGGTGGATCTGGTTACAAGGAGGCGGGAGGAGGGGAGGGACAGAGAGAAATCTGCGGGGCTGCGGGTGGGGGAGGGAGGGTAGGGGGGGGGGGGGGGGTGTGTGTGCGCGCGCGCGCGCATGCGTAGGAATTCACACCGCACAGCCTGTCCACGGAGAAATAGCAAACAGGTCATCCGCGTTGGATGGAGGCGGGAGGAGGGGAGGGACAGAAATCTGCGGGGCTGACGGGGGGGTGAGCGGATGGTGCGTGGGGGGGGGAATTCACACCTCACAGCCTCCCTGTCCTCGGAGAAATAGCAAACAGGTTACCCGCGGAGAAGGAAAGAGGGGGATGCGGTAACGACGACGGGCCACCACAACAGTAACAGTAACCCTGGCGGCCACGGTTTCCAGGGGCGCCGGGGTGCCAGGCCGAGGGCGCACGCCGCACCCTCTTCCTAACGGACTCCTCTCCATAATTCGCCACCGCAGATACTGCCACGCCCATTTTACAGACAGAGAAGGCCCTCGATCAAAGCCACACAGCTAACCCGAGCTGGGCGGGACGCAAGCGTGTCCGACCCCCGGGCCTGCGGGCAGGGCCGCCGCAGCGCGGTACACGCGCTCCGAGACGCAGAACGCACACATGTGCAGGTGCACACGCGGGCGGGCACACGGACACGGCGTGCTGCACGCCCCGGGGCGGGGGTGCGGGCAGGCGACCCACACGCCAAGACCCCCGCGAGACCTGGGCACACGCGCACGCGGCCACCCCCGGAGGTGCGCCACGCGGGCTCAGTCCCCCCCTGCGCACGGCGAGGCACGCCGCCGGCCGGACAGTCCGCTCCGGGCGGACAAACGGACGCGACCCAGACCCAGCCTGACCCCTCTTGCGGTAGAGGGATTGGAGACCCCCTCCCCGGGCCTGCGCCTCTAGAGCACCTCCGCTCCCACCCCCGAACACAGACTCGCACACATTCACACGCGGGCTCCCGAGGTCGCCACCGGCACCCCCACTCCCACCCCAGTTTCCCAGGCCCACCTCCCGGCCGTGGGGGTCCCTCGAAGGACTCACCCTCCCCAACCAGACCCAGTCCCGGCACTGCAGAGCCGGCGCTGCAGCTATTGCAGCTGCGCAGAAGCGGAAGCAGCGGGGGAGGGGAAGGCGAGGAGAGGGAGGGGAAAAGTGGGGGGGGGGGGTGGCAAGAACATGGGAGGATCAAGATCACTTCTTAGGCGTTTCCGTATTTGCCATGTAAGTGGGAGGGGAAGCTTTCTTTGTTTAGAAGCCTAGGAGATGATGGGGCGCCTGGGTGGCTCAGTCAGCTGGGTGTCCAACTTTGGCTCAGGTCATGGTATCGCAGTTCGTGGGTTCAAGCCTCGCGTCAGGCTCTGTGCGGACAGCGTGGGACCTGGAGCCTGCTTCGGATTCTGTGTCTCCCTCTCTCTGCTCTTCCCCAACTCATGCCCTGTCTCTGTCTCTCCCTCTCAAAAATAAATAAAAATTTAAAAAATAATAAGAAAAAAGAAGTTTAGGAGATGAGCTTCCAGCCATTCCAAGCATAGTTCAGTGTGAAGAGAGGAGAGGTGGGGAGAGGCGGATTTAGAGTAAGGCTCCTCATTCACCCCTTCACCCCTTCCTTCCGTCGCAAAACGCCCAGCGCAGGACACGAGGGGAGCTGGCCAGCTCATGGGGCCTTGGGCGGACTTGAGAGCTGGCTCCAGACCTACAGCCACTGTATACCAGCTGTGTAACCTTGGGAAGTGAATTACTGGGTCTCAGTTTCCTTACCTATAAACGAAGACAATAACGTTCCTACCTCATAGGGTGTTATCATGAACATCAGAGGAGTTAACACATGCACACCGTATACAGACTGAGTCACTATTATTGAACACCAGATCCTCAACATGGGGGGAAATCCCACGTGTGATCCTGATAGTTCAGATGATTAAGGCTGTTCTCAGGGCACTGGGTGGCTCACTTCCGCTCAGGTCATGATCTCACTGTTCGTGGGTTCAAGCCCTGCATCCG